GAGCACTCACTGGAGAAGACCCTGATGCTGGGAAAGATTGAAGGTCAAAGAAGACGGGGACGGCAAAAGATGAGATGGTTGGACAGTGTCAGCGACGCAACGAACATGAAATTGAGCCAACTTCAGAGGACAGCGGAAGACAGGAGGGCCTGGCGGGAGCTGGTCCATGGGGTCGTGAAGAGTCGGACTCAACTGTGCGACTGAACAACAACAAGAAGAACCCTCCTGCTTCAGACAAGAGATCCATCAGGCCCTGCAACCTATTTCCCAAGATGGCCAATCAGAAGGATCACACTTCTACCTTGCCCTTCCCCCAGGCTGCTCGAGCAGAGGCATAGAGGCCAAATCCTCCAGCTGTTGCTGTAACTGGTGCTTGAAGGCAGACTGCTCGGACTATGGGGGTTCCCTTCAGGCACTGGGCTAGAGCTCCCCCTTCAGGAATCTCTCTGACCTCCTTTCAAAACCGGTTTCCATGGCCACATTCTTGTAGCCGTGAGTTTCACAAGTTAACTGTGCAATGTGTACTGCAGACCAATGCTCCCTGTAAGCTGTGGAGTCTTGTGAGCAAAAATTCTTCTTTCTGAGCTACTGGCATTAAAGTTGTGAGCGAGCGATTTGGCTGCTGCATAAATTAGTTTGCTCTGGAGCCAATCTCCCTGAGCTAAGACAAAAATGGGTGAGCCGAAGGCTAAAAAACTGTGAGCTGGCTCACACTAACTCAGCTTAGGGGGAACACTGCTGCAGACCCTTATTGTGTGTCTGCAGACTGTAGTAGGTTTTTGAGTGATTTCTCCAGTGACTCATGTCCAAAGAAGCTGTAAGAACGGAGGACGGCAGAACCTACCCAAGGTAGCAGGTGAAGGGCATAGGTATTGCCTCTGACCACCCTCCTCTCGTACATAAGATTCGCATAGTGGGTTGGTTCATCATCCCTGCAGTAGACAAAACGAAGGGTAAGTGGATGGGTCAAAAGAGAAAATCTAGAGAAGCATTTTAGAACATAGGACTGTTTCTCCTTTAAAACACTCTGTGTAGATTTCTACTGCCACCAGGAATTAAACATTCCAAATCTCTCTCATTTGGTAGAACCTAGGGTCTGGGCACTTCAGAGGACTATGTGGCCCTGAGGAAGGACTATTCTGAGATAAGATTAAACAAATAATTATTTATTTAATAAAGAACAAAATATGTTTCTGGTTATTTTGAACTGTTGCTGGTGAAAGGAACTTGTAAATATAACCGGCAATGCTTGGTGTCACAAACAATCTCTCAAACTCCCAAAACTCCACTCTGACAGGTGTAGACACTCTGTCTAATCTCTCTCTCATCTATATAGTCACACAGGCTGAACTCTTTGTTTTAATCACACATTGTAGACTCAAAAACTCCCATAGTCTCACAGACTATGCTCTCTCTTCAAACGTCACACACAGAATCTTTTCATAGACACCCCTCCTCCCACACTTTCAGTCACCAGCCAATCACATCACACTTGTCTCCCTGTATCACTCTTCTCATATTACTGCAGTCAAACTAAACATTTAAAGAAACACACACACCAAAACATGAAATCATTATAGTCCACCTTGACCATCATCTCACTTCCCACTGCCTCTGGCCATTATCTTTCTGTTCACTTAAGCTTTCTGTCCCTCCGGCTTCATGTTCCCTTAAGCTTTTTTTTTTGGGGGGGGGGGTTGATCTGGTTGGTTGACTTAATGTACACACACACACACACACACACTGGCTTTCATGCATCCACAGGAAGTTCTGTTTGATTTTATGCCGCTAATTTATTGTTCTAAGTGAAGTCTGCTTCAGATTCAGAAGCTATTTGGCTATGATTCCGGGGAGACAAATTAAACTAATTAATCACTGAAGGCTCAGCTCTGGGTCACAGGTTGCAGCTGAGAAGAGGAGATTTGAGGCGGTAGTCATTTCAAAAGACAAGTGAAACACCTTTCCTTTTAGGAAAGTGTTGTGTATCCAGCCTAAGGAAGCCAGGCATGCCCGGACTTGTCAGTAGACTAAAAAACCTCAAGCTTCATTCCAAAAGACAATGGGCCGGTAGGATCCTAGCCAGGCCCAATGAAAGGGCTAGGTTCCCAGCCGAGAGGCCAATAGATCTCTCGGTTACTGTAAATAGCCTATCGGGAGTGGGGTGTGTGTTTGGTGTGTTTGGTGGCGGGTTTTCTGAAGGAATATAAGCCGGCCCGTGAGCCGGCCAAGGTGTCTTTTGTTCCTGACTAAATAAAGGTATGCTTAGCTGAAATCACTCTCCGTATGCATACTTTTCAGAAAGCCTCAGGGGAGAACACCTGCTTGTGCCTCACACTTCACATTGACTCTGACGGGCAGCTGCTTGCCTGAGCCTTGAGCAGAGAAAGATCTTTTTACTGGAGATGCTGCAACGGAACTGGAGATCTTCTACAGGCAAAGCAGTCACTCAGCCACGGAAGTACAGCCCGTCCAGCTAAAAGGAGTTATCGACGGTCACAGGCAAGCACACTAAACTGCCTTAAAGAGTTAGGCCATCGGTCTCATCCAGATCAGTATTGCCTGCTCTGACTGGCAGCAGCTCTTCAGGGTCTCAGTCAGGAAAAGGATTCCCCCAGCATTTGAGGTACTCGACCCGGAGACTGAACCTAGAATATCCTACATGAAAAACACACATCCTACCATGGAGCTTCTACAGCCCGTTGCCTCAAGCCAATATGAGTATGGGAAGACATAATAAATCAGCCTAACCTTGCTGGGTGACCTTGGGCCAGTCATACGCTCTCAGCCTAACCTGCCTCACAGGGTTGTTGTGAGGATAGAAATGGAAAAGAGAATGACGTAAGCCACTTTGGGTCCCTCTTGGAGAGAAAGCTGGGGTATAAATGAATGAGTTAATTAAATAAATCAAATAAGTTCACTGGGTGACCTTGGGATAGTTATACTCTTTCAGCCTTAACCTGCCTCTCAGGGTTGTTGTGAGGATAAAATGGAGGAGAGAATGGTCAGTTTGGGTCCCTCTTGGAGACAAAGCTGGGGGGATAAATGAATGAATGAGTTAATTAAATAAATAAAGTTCACTGGGTGATCTTGGGCCAGTTTGGTGTAGTGGTCAGGAGCGCGGAGTCTAATATGGGAAAACCGGGTTTGATTCCCCACTCCTCCACATGCAGCTGCTGCTGTGTCCTTGGGTCAGTCACGAGGCCTCTCAGAGCTGTTCTCTCAGGAGCAGTTCTCGAGAGAGCTCTCTCAGCCCCATCTGCCTCACGGGCAGTGTTCCCTCTAAGCTGAATTAGTGTGAGCTAGCTCACAGTTTTTTACCCTCCGGCTCACACATTTTTGTCTTAGGAAGGATGGCTCCAGAGCAAACTAATTTATGCAGTATTTATATTTATTTATTTATTTATTTAGATGTATAGGCCGCCCTCCCCACAAGTGGGCTCAGGGCAGCTTACAGATTTATTTATTATTTTATTTATTATTAGTTTGATTTATATTCCGCCCTTCCAAAGGCTCAGGGCGGCTCACATGCGGCAAAGTCGAGTGTAAAATACAATAAAACATATTGTAACATATGTCTGCCTGCCGTGTAGGACGGCCGGGTCCCCCTCGGCCTCTGGAGGCAGGGTTGCCATATCCAGGTTGGGAAACTCCTGGAGATTTGGGGGGTGGAGCCAGGGGAGGACAGGGACCCCCATGAGGCAAACATGCCAATAATTAAAACAGCTAAAACCTGATAAAACAATCAATCAATTATACAGTAAGGTGCTCAAGTTATCTCAAAGTCCTCAGTAACAAGATGGGCTTCTGGTGTTGGTCATCTCAAGTCAATCATATCGTTCCAATGGCAACACCCTTCATTCTTCATCCCGGGGCCATCGCAACCCCCCCCCAGATGTTACCCAAGCCAGTTGGTGGTGGTGGTGCAGCGGTGGTACAGCAGCCAAATCGCTCACTCACAACTTTAATGCCAATAGCTCACAAAGTAGAATTTTTGCTCACAAGACTCCACAGCTTAGAGGGAACATTGCTCCGTCTTACACATTTTTGTCTCAGCTCAGGAGGGATGGCTGCGGAGCAATGCTCTCAGGGTGTCTGTTGTGGGGAGGGGGAGGGAAAGGAGATTGTAAGCTGCTCTGAGACTCCTTTGGGTAGTGAAGGGCCATGGGGTATAGATCCAGTCTCTTCTCTTTTTCTTCTTCTCTTACACCCTGTCAGCCTAACCTACCTCACAGGGTTGTTGTGAGGATAAAACGGAGGAACCGAGAATGACGTGCGTGGCTTCGGGACCCCGCTGGGGAGAAAGGCGAGAGTATAAATGAAATACGTGTATGAATTTGCCTGCCGTGTAGGATGGCTGGGTCCCCCTCGGCCTCTGGAGGTAGGTTGCCATATCCAGGTTGGGAAACGACCGGAGATTTGGGGGTGGAGCCTGGGGAGGACAGAGACCTCCATGGGGTACAATGCCATAGAGCCCACTCACCAAAGCATCCATTTTCTCCAGGGGAACGGACCTCTGTCGTCTGGAGATGAGCTGGCATCCCAGTGCTAAATTTAGGGTTGCCAGCCTCCAGGTGATGGCTGGAGATCTCCTGGGATGACAACCGATCCCCAGGTGGCAGAAATCAGTTCTGCTGGAGAAAACGGTTGCTTTGGAGGGTGGATTATATGGCATAATGCCCTGCTGAGGTCCCTCCCCTCCCTAAACCCCGCCTTCCTCAGGCTCCACCCCCAAAATCTCCAGGTATTTCCCAACCCAGAGCTAATGCTCCCTCTAAGCTGTGGAGTCTTGTGAGCAAAAAATCTTCTTTGTGAGCTACTGTCATTAAAGCAGTGAGCGAGCGATTTGGCTGCTGCATAAATTAGTTTGCTGTCTGGAGCCCTCCTTCCTGAGCGGAGACAAAAATGTGTGCACCGGACGCTAAAAGACTGTGAACTAGCTCACACCAACTCAGCTCAGGGGGAACAGTGGGCCCACCCTAGCTAAATCAACATTCGTATTTCACGACTTCTTCCCTTGCACCTTTGCTCTAAGATCCTCTCTTCGGACCCCTTCTGCAATCTTAACTGTTCTTTGTCTGAAAGAAAATGACCCCTTCCCACCAATGCTCCCACTAAGCTGTGGAGTCTTGTGAGCAAAAATCCTACTTTGTGAGCTACCGGCATTAAAAGTTGTGAGCAAGTGATTTGGCTGCTGCCTAAATTAGTCTGCTCTGGAGCCCTCCTTCCTGAGCGGAGACAAAAATGTGTGCGCCGGAGGCTAAAAAACTGTGAGCTAGCTCACACCAACTCAGCTCAGGGGGAACAGTGGGCCCACCCTAGCTAAATCAACATTCATATTTCACTTCTTCTTCCCTTGCGCCTTTGCTCTAAGATCCTCGTTGGTCCCCCTTCTGCAATCTTAACCAGTGTTCCCTCTAAGCCAAGTTGGTGTGAGCTAGCTCACAGTTTTTTAGCCTCCGGCTCACACATTTTTGTCTCGGTTCAGGAAGGAGGGCTCCAGAGCAAACTAATTTAGGCG